AGCATTTTTTTATATGGCTATTGATAGTTTTGATTTCTTTGTCTGAAACTGCCTGTTCATATCCTTTGACCAGCTATGATAATTAGGGAATGACTTATATTCTTATAAATTTGATTCAGTTCTCTATATATTTGAGAAATGAAGCCTTTATCAGAGAAATTTGCTGTAAAATTCCCCCCCGCCAGCTTTTTGCTTTCTTTCTAATCTTGGTTGCGTTAGTTTTATTTGTACAAACCCTTTTTAATTTAATGTAATTAAAATTATCCATTTTACATCTAGTTATGTTCTATGTATTTTGTTTAGTCATAATTTCTTCCCTTCTCCATGGATCTGAGAAATAAACTATCCCATGCTCTCCTAATTAGCTTATGGTATCACCCTATATGTACCCATGTACCCATTTTGACTTTATCTTTTTATACAGTGTGAGATGGTCTATACTTCATTTCTGCCAAACTGTTTTCCCAGTAGTTTTTGTCAAATATTGAGTTCTTATCCCAAAAGCTTGGATCTTTGGGTTTAATAATATATTAGCTATGTCTTTTGTGCTTAATCTATTTAACTGATCCTCCAACTGATTATTAGCTAGTACCAGATCATTTCAATGGTTACCACTTTATAATATAGTTTGACATCTGGCATGGCTACTCTGCCTTCCTTCATATTTTAAAAAATTAATTCCCCTGATATTCTTGACATTTTGTTCTTCCAGATGAATTATTACTATTTTTTCTAGCTCTGTAAAACAATTTCTGGTAATTTCATTGGTATGGCACTGAATAAGTAAATCAATTCGAGTAGAATTGTCATTTTTTATTGTATTGACTAGGCCTACCCATGAGCAATTAATATTTTCCCAATTATTTAAATCTGATTTTATTTGTGTGAAAGTGTTTTGTAATTGTGTTCCTATAGTTCCTGGGTTGTCTTGGCAGATAAATTCCCAAGTATTTTATATTGTCTACAGTTACTTTAAAAGGAATTTCTCTTTCTATCTCTTGTTGCTGCCTTTGTTGCTAATATATAGAAATGCTGATGATTTATGTGGGTTTATTTTATATAGAGAGTCAAGGGTGACAGGTTGCTAGCCTAGGGGAACATAGTCACACAGACATGTGCTCCAATTATACATTCACATACACATTCATATCCTCCAGGGTTCTGAGACCCCTAAAATATTACTGTGTCATGTAATATCTGTATCTATCGCTAAGAGAAACCCTATCACAGAATCTCAGATTTGGAACCTAAGATGGAATCTCTACTTCATTCCTCTTTGGAGTGCACTTTTGACTCTCTGGACTTCTTTCTCTTTTTCTTTTTAGGCAATTGGGGTTAAGTGACTTGCCCAGGGTCACACAGCTATTACGTATCATGTGTTTGGTCTGAGGCTGAATTTGAACTCAGGTCCTCCTGACTTCAGAGCCGGTGCTCTATCCACTTCGCCACCTAACTGCCCCCAGGACTTCTTTCTCCACAATGCTCCAGCAGTCTCCTTACTCTGGGAGATGTTGCTATACATATATATAGATGGCTGCTATGCTCCTGTAGCCTCCTTGCCCCGGAAGCTGCCTTCACCTCTGTACTCCATTAGCCTTCTCATCTGGGAAAGTCCCTCTGCCCCCATGGTCCCTTCCTTGGATTGGTTGTTTCCTCCTGGAACCTCCATTTGAAGGCTAGCCATGTTGATTCCTTCATTCCTCTCTGGAGCCTATTCTTGGTCCTCCAGACTTTTTCCTCCACCACATTCCTTCCTGGGTACATCCCCCCTCCCTCTGCTTTTCAGCTTTATTTTATGTGTTGTCTTTTCCCTATTGAAATGTAAGCTTCTCATAGGTAGGGACCATCTTTCTTTTTGGCATCTCCTTGTATCCATACTGCTTAGCCACCAGAGTCAAATAATAACAGCTTAATGAATGCTTGTTGAATTAACTTGACTTGGAAGGAACGCCGACGTTATCCTCTCCAACATATCCCTGAACAAAGTCCCCTTTACGAAGTACTCTGCGAGGGATCAGCTAGTCTTCGCTTGAAGACCTTCAGTAAAGGGGAAAGCATTGCCTCCCCAAGTACCCCATTCCACTTCTGGAGAGTTTGAATTGTTGGGAAGTTTGTTTCCTTCCTTCAAGCCTAAATTTGCCTGTTTGCAATTTTTACCCACGAAGAACCAAACAGAATATGTGATAAGTCCTCTAAAAACAGTCTATCCCTCCAGGTCTTCATTTTACAGGGACAACGACAAGTCACTGAATTGCATCTGCTGAGGGTGTTTGTGGCCCTGATAAGGACAAGGATTGGCGAGATAACCTTAGCAACCCCCAGAGATATTATCTCCCCTGCCTGAGTTGGGGACACATGCTACTTTTCTAACTGAGCAATGCCTTTAAGGTCTACCTCTCTCTCCTTCCCACAAGGAGGGAGAAATCTAATCAGAAAAGCCCTTTTCTGCTCCTGTAGTTAGAAGCTCCTTGTGCCAACCACTCTATATCCAATAAACAGCCTCCCTTTTGCCCTTTTGTTCTTCATTATTGTATAGTCCCCCTTTACATAAAAGAAACTATATAGCCACTAACCCTTGCTGCATGTCTATGCAAGCAATGCAGACAGAGGTTGGGGAAACCTGTTAGTCTGAGAAAAGTGGGAGATATATCCAGCTTCCAGTGGACAGTCAGGAAAGCCTCACCCATCACAGGTAACAAATCTTTTGGGGCACTCCATTCCATATCCATTGGCCAGCTAGAAGTGACTTACAAGAGTGTAAACAGAAAGAGATTATAAGCAGAATAGAATTTTGTAATACCCACACCCTAGGCTAGAGAGGATAAGCTCCTTGGGGCAGACAGGAGTCATCCTAGGATGGAGCAGGGAGAAAAATTTGTCTTCCCTGGGGACCACATGAATCCTTCTGGATTCCTTTATTGGTATACTTGTTGTCCCCCATCCTACCTCCCCTTTCAGTAGCTTACTGGTAGGTGAGGATATTTACAGAGGGAGGGACTCCCCTCAGCCTGTCACTCATTACTGTGCTATTTACATGCCTACACCAAGATCTTCTCACACATGTTTCACTCTATTCCATATAGGGACATCTTGTCCCCTACAACCCTGCCCCACTCCCTTCACCCCCACCATGTTACATGTAGAGGCTACCATTCCCCAGAGTTTTATCATTCTCCCAAGGGAAGAGAGATCCAAAGCTTTTTAAAATTTTTATATAATATATTAATATATTTTATATATTATTACTTCACATATATTTAGATATGGACAAAGTCTAACACATTACACACACACACACACAGTCTGTCAAAGGGTCTGTCAAAGCCCCATGCATGATTAGTCATCTGTCAAAATGTTGTTCAGATGTGATTATGATCTCTTTCCTTTTCCTCCTCCCTCTCCACAGCTGCATGAGAGGTAGAGCCCAGGGGATGGGGGTGGGGGACAACCCAATAAGGGGGTGGGGGTTTTCTCATCATTGACCCACTATTTCCCCACTTCTGTCTCACTGTCTCTGTAACTAGATTCTCACTTTCAGAAACAAACCGTTGAGGCTGTTTTCAGGTTGCTTCTCTGTGCTGCCCATCCCCATTCCTATGACTGACAGTCCCCTCTGATTCTTGGGTACTGCTTATTACAATGATTTCTTCCATTCCAGTGGTTATTTTCCAATAGAATATAGGCTCCTTAAGGGCAGGAACTATTACTTTTTTTCTCTGTTTTGTCAGTACCTAGCAGATCACCTAGTATTTAGTAGGCTTTTAATAAATTCTTGATGGTTGATTGATAGGTCTTGAGAGCCTGGAGTAGGACACTTGGGGGCCAATTCTAGCATCCTGAACCTCTTTTGGGTTAGTGAGGTGAAGGGACCAGAGCAGCAACTTTAATTGAGGATGTCAATTTCATTACCTGCAAAATGAAAGTGTTGGTCTAGAAATGATCTCTAAATTCTATTCTAGCTCTGTCAATAGACCATTCATCCATGACGGAGGAGGGTGGCCAAAATGGGAGATGGGGAAGGAAAGAACCCCAAGCAGGATTGCTAGTGGTAGCTAGAGAGGGACCACCTGGTTCTTGGTCCTCTGAGTCCTCACCAGGTGCCAAATGCCTGGAGGATTCTAGTCCCACATTCCTGAGAATCTGACCCGGGAGACTGGGTGTGCTGGGTGCTGGCAAGCACAGAACTGCCATTACAGTCAGTTAACCAACACCTTCGATTGAACATCTTCTGTATACACAGCCCTGTGGGAGAAATCATAATCAAAAATGGGGAATATGGTTCCCATCTTTGGGGGAAATCTTGTTCTGATAACACCACCCTAGGGAATTAAGTGGGGGAAGAATAGTCTCCCTTTTTGGGAGTTGGGTTGGAAAGATATAGACATTTCCCTGGGGACCCTCTAGTCTTATGACATGGTCCCTGTAACTCCCCATAGACTGAACCTGTCAATATGCTGGAGAGACAGGTTAGAGTCCCTTAAGCGCTCAAAGAATACAGAGTAGAAGGCATTGGTGGGGAGGGGTGGGTGTGGGTGTGAGTGGTCAGAGTAGGGGAGAACAGAGTTAATCAGAGAAGGTTCCCTGGAGGAAATGATCCTATGAAACTTGCTCCCATTCCTAAGCCTCAGTTTCCCCGTTTCCTGCCTCTGGCCCCTCTCCTCTGAGCCTGCGCCTTCTCCTGAGCCTCAATTTCTCCATCCCCTGTACCCTCCTTTCCTATCACTAATACCACCCTGTTTCTATTTTTGAGCTGACCCCACTTTCGCTTTACTGACTCCAGCTGGGGGGATAATTTCTTATATCTTCCTCTTTTGTGACTAAAAATCATCTGGTAAAGAGCTGTGCAGTGTGACATGCTCTCAATAGGGAGTGGGCAGAGAGCCTCAGAGGGACTGAGGGGAGCAGACATAAAGTGGGCAAGGAAGGAGGGGGATCAGATAAGGAGAAGGGGGCAGACAGCAAAAGGGAAACAGAAGAAGGGGAAAGGGGGAAGAGACAGTGGGACAGGCTTGGAGGGGAGGGACCATAAGAAGCTCACGACCATGGCTGAGTCCATCACCTATGCACATCTGCGCTTTGCGAAATCTCCTCTGAAGAAGACTCTTTCAGCCAGGCTGAAGCAGGGTAAGAGCCCTTGAAACTTCTCAACCTTAACACAGCCTTGATGCTATCCCCTGCTCTGATCTCCATCCTCCTGGGATTCCCCCTCTCTGAAGCTGACTCCTTTTATGCCCCATCTCTTCTGAACCCACTCCCCTATAGTCAATTTCCCTTCACTGACACCATTTCCCTATACCCCATGCCCCTTTACTTACACCATCTCCCTCTAGTTCATCATCCTTTATTGACACCATTTTCCTATAGTCCGTTCTCTTTCACATAAGTTCACCCTCCATCATCTCCTGTAGCCCATAAATGTTCATTGATTGACTGATCATCCTTTTCTGACTGAGCATATCTCCCCCTAACCCCATCCTGGTCACTGACTTATCCCATCTCCCCACTGACTGACTCCATCAGTCCCTGAATGACTCCCCCACCCCACTCAACACATACACTGACTACTCCATTTCTCCAGTGACTGAACTCCCCTATGCTGACACTGCACACTGTTAACTGATCCCCCCCACAATGACTCTGCCTCACTGGCTCTCACTCCCAGTGACTTTTCCCACATGCTCTCCCCACTTTTCTAACCCATTTCCCACCCCTATGCAATTATCTAGCTTTCCAATAACTAATTACTCTTCCTGTGCTTGGTCCCATCCCCTAAATCTTGTTATTGACCCCCTTATTATCATTGACCAACACTCCTCAGTGACTAACCCCCACACGCTGACCCCATCCCTAATTAGCCATTTCCTTATTTCTCTCCCCCCTCTTCCAGACCCTGAGGTGGATGAAGATGGGGAGCTCACCTATGAAAATGTGCAGGTGCCTTCGGCCAAGGATGTGTTCCCCAGCCCAGCTCAGCCTGGCCTTGGGGAACAAATAGGTAGGTGCTCCAGGAGACTCTGAGGGGACTGCATACTGAGGACATGTAGGGTTAGAGTGGAGGAGGAGTGTCAGGGGGTCCCTAGGGACTTTAGGGAGAGGGGAGAGGATCCTGCATGTACCTGGGGAAGATGGAATTAGGGCCAAGGGAGATAGAAGTGTGCCTGTGGAAATGGGACTAACCAGGAGGGTGGTTAAAGAGATATGAGGAGATTCAGAAATAGAGGGGTAGCCAAGGCAGGATAGTTTGAAGATAGATTTACCCTTGTATCTCTAGGAGGGGAAAAGACAGAAAAGCCTGTTACTGCATCTCATTCAGTGACATCACCAGTTGCCAGGAGGATTCTGCCCTGTAAGTAATAATCAACAGGCACTTTGAGGCCAGTCTGAGTCTGGGGGTGGGAGCACTTTGGGGCAGGGAAATCCTGAAACAGAAAGAGTTGGGGCAGGGGAAGAAGAGGGGATAACTTTAAGAGAAAGAAAGGGGCAGGAAAAAAAAAGGAACAACAAGGCCTAGAAACACTGGGCACTGGGCCTTAGGAGAGGATTTCTAGGGCTGATGTTGCTGGTACTACTCTGGCGCCAGCCTTAGGGCATGCACAGCTGGAACACACACCCCAGAATCTGCACTCCACTCCAGTATTGGACTAGGATATAGGGTACTGCAATGGCTAGGGGAGGAAAGATGGAGGAGAGGATCCTTGGATGCCCAGTACTAAGTGGGAATAGATGATGAGAAAGAGAGAAAAAGCCTAGTACAGGGGCATCTAGGCAGCGCAGTGGATGGGGCAGCTAGGTGGCGCAGTGGATAGAGCACCAGCCCTGGATTCAGGAGGACCTGAGTTCAAATCCGGCCTCAGACACATAACACTTACTAGCTGTGTGACCCTGGACAAGTCACTTAACCCCATTGCTTAGCCAAAAAAAAAGCCTAGTACAGATGATCCCTATTGTCCCGGGGGCACAAATTCAGCCACATCATGGCCCCCTCATATAAAAGCACCCACCCTACCTTTGTCCTGATCCCTTTATCCTTTCCTTTAAACAGCTTTCCTCCCTGTAATACCCACCAAACCAGTGCCTTGATCCAATCCCCTTCCTATAAAAGGGCCTTACCACATACCCCTACTATCCCTATAAGGTCTCCGTCCTTATAACTGTCCCTTTCTATACTGTAAACCCCCACACCGCCCTCCCCAAACACAGACTGCACTACAATCCCAACCTTTGTCTCCTCAGGCCCTGTGGCCTGGACACCGCACATTCTCCTGAGCCTGCTGGGCACCTGTTTGCTGTTGGGGGTCACTACTATCAGCCTGGGAGTTCAATGTGAGTATGGTCTTCTCTTGCAGAGCATCTTTTAAACATTAAACTCTTTTTTTTCCCCAATTATCAAGCATTCATTTTTTTTTCCCTTCCCTCTCTTTTCCCCCAGCCTCCATCAAAACAAAACAAAATAAAACCTTGAAACATATATGCCTAGTCAAGCAAAACAAATTCCCATATTGGCTTTGTCCAAAAATGCATGTCTCATACTGCAACATTGAGTCCATCACTTCTCTAATGGAGGTTGGCACCATTCTTCATCATTAGTCTCTGGAATCAGAGTTGATCATTGCATTGATCCCAGCTCTTAGTCATTTCAAAATTACTTGTTTTTATGGTGTTGTTGTTATAAATTGTTCTCTGGTTCTATTCACTTAGCTCCCTTGTAACTTATTTTAATAGTCACCCTGAATGGGGACAGGGGAGCTGGTTTGGGCAGGGATACAAGACCTCTCATTTCCTTAGCGCTAGCACCTCTCTACCTCTCTGGAGACATACCCCTCTGCCTGAATCACCAACCACCTCTAGCTTGTACTCTTCATTCCTGGGAAATTTCTAAATATTGTTCCTTGTTACTAGACTGTTAAAATTCTATCTTGTTCTGGCTCCCCTGACCCCACCCACCACACCCCCCTCCTTCTAGTCAGTATAGTGAATAAGTTTATAAAGAGCCAGTATAAAGTGGTAATAGCAGTGAATAAGATTGCAAAGGGGACCCTGGAAGTCATGTACAGACTGCCCCAAAGATCAAAGGAGCATAATTTGCAAACTGTATCATACATTAACCAAAAATCATATGCTGGGGATATGTGCTAAATCAGGGAAAAGCCATCTAGGCTTTGAAGGCCTTTGGGTTCTGTGATATGTAAATCTCAGAGAAGTTCTAGACATTTCCAGTAAGGTAATAGTGCTGATAATTTTGTAAAGGTGTGAATATATTAACTTTAAAGTTTTATTGACAACTTTGAGGTGATTTGGATATGTTAATGAACTAACCTCAAAGTGGCACAGGTAAGAATATGTCCCCCCCAAAACCTATAAAAATGAGACTTCAAACTCCTCTCCTCCTCCCCCCTCCCCCTGCTCCAAGCATTTTCCCGTCTCCATTGGGTCCATGCTGCCTAGTACTCCCAACTTGAATCCATGGTAATGTAAGATACTCTGTGACATTTCCCCTCCCCTCCCTCTTCTTTCTGCTACCTGCCTCTATACCCTCTCCCCCTACTTCCATCACTTGTCTCTGTACTTTCCATGCCATTTGCCCCTATGTCTTCTGTGTTTTATTAAAGTGTGATTGCAGCCTCACTTCCCACTGCCATTGTGGTCTTTCCTAGTGAGTACCCAAATAACTAGGTGTGCCTGCCCCATTTTATATTTCCATAAGTTCATAAGCAATTTATCTATGAAGGTAGTGGCCATGTCTTGGCTAAACCTTGTATATTCTCTGGCACCTAGCATGATGCTCTATATAGAGCAGGTGCCTTATGAATGTTTATTGTGGTGGTGGTTCATATAGCTCTGTACTTTCCTAAATTCACCTCTTTCTTGAGCCTTTAGCTTCTTAAACCCCCATTATTAAGTCCACAAGAACTTTATAACCCAATTTCAGTGAGACAAGTAGCTGAAAGATGTCAGTTGTCTTGAAACTTGCAAGAAATAGGTAGAGAAAAATGATAAATACCTAAAAGGCTGGAAAAACCATGAGTTCAGCTTTTCTCACCATTCCTACTTTTCTGTGCCCAAAAGATATGCAGATATCTCACCAGCTTAGAAATACCAACCAAGTCCTGGAAGTCACCAATGGTAGCCTATGGCAGAAGCTCGAAATGGGGGCTATCCACTTGTCAAGGAAGGAAATGGATCTGCAGGCTGCCAGGGAGGAGCTGTCCCAGACCCAGCAAAAGTTGGAGGTAGAAAAGGGGCAGCACCAAGCTGCTGAGGACTACCTGCTGACCTGCAGATTGGAATGGAATAAGACAGAATTGAGCCTGAAGGACAATATGGAGGAGAAGAAAAACCTGGAAGAAAAGCTGAAAATCTTGCAGAATAGGCTGAAGCAAGTTCAGCCCCTTTTCAGTTGCCCATCCCGAAATAATGGTACGAGGTTTGGTGGAGGGGCAGGGAAGGGGACGTTGGTGGAGTTGATAAAGGACCAGCAAGACAACTGTGGAGAACATGTGGCGAGACAGAAAGCATGGTATAGTGGTGAAAACATTAGACTAGAGGTTAGAATAATTCTTAATCTTTGATGCCTCCCTATGCATTCATTCAATATCTGATCATCTTATATACAAGATACTTTGCTAAGCACTAAGGGGAACATCAAAATGCATGACACAGTCTTTGACCTTCTAAGAATTTAAAGTCTAGGAGTGAGAAGAAGGGCAGTCCAGGGCAGAATGTTGACAAATGTCACACGGGTGGAATAGACTGGTGCCATCTGGCTGTCAACCAACCCCTCAACCTCGATGATTCCTTCTTTGCCCTCTCCCTGGAATTTTCCTTGTCTTCACCACTCTCATTGATTGGATTTGAGGCATGGGTAAGATTTAGACAGTCAGAAAAGAAAGGAAGAGTTTTCCATCCAGGGTTTATGGAGGTTGGACAACATGAAGCCTGCTTGATGAGGAGACCTGTTTAGCTGTAGCATTGAGGTAATGAGAAGTGACATGGTGCAATGGAGAGGGGACCTAGGTTGGGATCCTAGGAATCTCTATCACCTATGACCTTTGTATCCTTGGGTAAGACTCTACCACTCTGGGCTTTAGCTTCTGCACCCAAAATATAAAGGATGGACTGGAGGGTCTCTAAATTCTCTTCCAGCTCCAAATTTATGATCCTATCTTCCTAGTGTAGGGGAGTAGTGGGAAATAAGGCTGAAAATGTAGGTTGGGATTAGGGTTAAGGCTGTGAATTATTGGGAGGAGGAATTTGGTCTTTGTAACAATAATAACTAGTGTTTATATGGCACTTTAAGGTTTGCAAACCACTTTTTGTTTTTTGTTTTTTTTGGCTAGCCAAAGGGGTTAAGTAACTTGCCCAGGGTCACACAGCTGGTAAGTGTTATGTGTCTGAGGCTGGATTTGAACTCAGGTCCTCCTGAATCCAGGACTGGTGTTCTATCCACTGCGCCAGCTAGATGCCCCTTACAAACCACTTTTTAAGATATTATCTTACAACAGTCCTGTGGAATAGGTGCTATTATCATCCCCACATTATGGGATGAGGATACTAATTTTGTTTCCTCATCTGAAGAATTATCCCTATTATACAGTTGAGGAAACTGAGGCTCAGAGAGGTTAAGTGACTTGCCCAGAACCACACAGCTAGTGTCTGAGGTCTAGTACGAATTCATGTCTTCTCGGCTCAAAGTCCAGCATGCTATTATAGGTTGCTAGGTGGTGCAATGGTTAGAGCACTGGACCTGAAGTCAGAAAGACCTAAATTCAAATCTAACCTCAGAGGCTTACTAGCTATGTGACCCTGGGCAAGTCACTTAACCTCTCTGAGCCTCAATTTCCTCAACTGTAAAATGGGGATAATAATAGCACCTACCTCTTGGGGTTGTTTTGAGGATCAAATGAGATAATATTTGTAAAGTTTATAAGACTTTTGTGAGGTTCAACTGGGACAGAACTTGTGGATGTCTTCTGAAAAGTATATATGCTTATTCAGGTATAAAGATCCTAATGAGTCATAGAAAAGAACCTTGGGGTGGGGGTGAGTGGGAAAGGTGGAAGAAAAGAAAAGAGAAGGGAGCAAGTATTTATTAAATACCTACTATGTGCTAGGCACTGAGCTAAGTGCTTTCCAAACATCTCATTTAATCCTCATCTCTTGGAGGTAGGTGCTAACACGCTCCTCACTTACAACTGAGGAAAGTGGAGGTTAAGTGACTTGCCTAGGTCACACAGCTAGTATGTGTCTGAGGACAGATTTGAACTCAGGTCTTCCATCCACTGAGTCATCTAGCTGCTTCAGTCATAGAATACTAAGGAGCCATTTCCAACCTGAACCAGTGCTGTGATCTCCTTCCTAGGCCAGGAGTGGAAATTTCACCAGTTCCCAGAAAACTGCTGTCCCTTGGGGTGGACGCTATTTAAGAAGAAATGCCTGTACATCTCAAGCAACCAGAAGAATTGGAGGCAGAGTGACTTGTTTTGTCAATCTCTATCCTCAAAGCTGTTTGTTTTTGAGTCATGGGGAGACAGAGTAAGAGTTCCTTGTCCTAGGGCCTCATGTAGATTCTCTGATCCCCCAGCAGATTTTGGAGTATTGGCAAAATAGAACACGTACTGTTAGAGTTCTCTGGACAGCTCCGTGACCTCTCCGGGGTGACTGGCAGTGGCACTAGGGGTCCTTGGCTAGCATAGGACTCATGGTGCTCCTGTTCCCCCATTGCTCCCCAATCTGATGAACTGGGGCTAGTGAGTGTCCTTCCCTAGCTTAAAGCTGAGCCCACTGTAGAGCTCACCCAGGGTTTTCAAGGCTGTGTTTCAAAGAGGCTGGGATGAACCACTGGGAGGGGGTCCACCTTTTGTGCTGGTATCATCAAGACACACACAGTTCCCCTGACTAGTAGGCCTCCCTGAGGTGTCCTCATTCTCCCACAGACTTTACTTATCTTTTCCTGTGGACTTCCTCCACCCAACCCAGTCTGTCTTTCACGCCAGGAACCCATAAGGCAGATACTTAACAAAGAAAAACTATTTGATGATTTCTGGATCCAGGGATGGCAAATAAAGAACAAGAGAGAACGAGATCAGTAAGTTTCCTGCAGACATAGTAAACATGTCCCCCTACCAGCTCTCCCCTCTATCCAATTCCTTTACTCAATATCACATCATCCCATGGTCGGGTGTGACTTTGGCCATAGCCCTCTTAAGAGTGGAGGGAAGCTGAATGAGCAAGGGTAGTGAACCAGCTCATGAAGCCCTAAGCAGGATGAAAAGGAACCCAGGCATCCTAACATAGTGTCTCTGACCAAAACGCTCCCAGGTGTGGGACCGGAGGATTCCCTTGGTTCAGCTCTGAGAGTAGCATGAGCAGTGACAAACCCTGCCAATGAGAAAGAAAAGTGGGAATTTCAGGGGCCCCAACTTGAGAGGTGGGTATTCCAGGATCCCAAAACCAGTGTGAGAGGGCAGACCTTTAGTCTGGAATAAATAGTTCAAGTGATTATCTGATAATTCCCATTTCCTCTTCTAGCTCCCTCATTGTGGTACCACTGTTGGCCCTAAAGTCGCTGTAGACCCTGCTGCTTCATAACTCTGACTCAGCCACTTTATCCAGTTTCCATACCCCTCCTGTAACAACCCCCTCCCATCTCTCCTTCAAAGACTTGATTTGGGACTGGGCTATTTGTTTGGGGGGGAAGGGTATGTTGAAGGGATTAAGCAGAGGGAGTGATTTCAGTAGACTTCTATGGAATGGGAGAAGGTTGGTGTGACCAAAAGGGTGGGATAAGGGAATTTGGGGTGTAGCCAGAGCTTAACTAAACTCCACTTCATTGCTCCCCAGAAATACAGTAAAGTGTTCAATTTTGAACCATTACTCTTACTACTCATCTGACTTCTGTGACAAGATTTTGTCCTTCATCTGTGAGAAAGAAGCCATCATATCTCCTGTTGAGATGGAGAACCACTTCCTTCACTGAGCTGGGTAAGGGTAGGGAGCAGCTCCAGAAGAGAGGCTTAGAGTAACTAGGTGGTTGTAGTTATGTGGCAGCCCCTCTTCTTGTTTCTCAGATCGCCCCCTCTCCCCTCAGAGGAGGGGTCTAGAATGTACAGAGGGGACCTAGGACTACCAAAGTTCTAATACCAGCCCCGACAGAGGGTTGTGAGATTGTTGGAGGCAATGGGCAAGCAGGGGTATATGCAGGGGGCAGATTCATACTCTGTATTTTTGGGATGTGGGGGGAGTGAAGGTCCAAGACCAGAACTATAGGATGCCTATGGGATGGTCAACCAGAGCCCAGTGGAGTTCTCTGGTAGACTTTGAGGGAGGGGAAAGTGGGGAGTTTTACCCATTTCCCCAGCTCAGGAAATTGTGGGGGGGTAGAGAGGGGCAACAGGGTGGGGTCTCACTGGAGCTCTACTCTTTCAGATCTTGTCATTGAAATCTCCCTCTTTCTTTCTCCTCCCTGTCCCTATTCCAGGTCCAAAGCTTCAGGATTCATCTTTTCAAGTCCTCTAGGCCTGTGTGGCCAGTGCTTAGATTGAGGACTGAATGAACACTTCTCTAAACCAGCATTCACATCTGATCCCACCTTCTACTTCAAGTCTTCAAGAGAGATTGGACTACTCCTGGGAAGAGGGGGACCAGCCTCAAGTAGGGGGATTTGGATCCTAGCATCTTCATTGAGGCCCCTGGCCCACTCTTGGGCCTCCATGAGAGGTATTTACTCTAGGGAGGGGGTACGAAGGAGGGGGAAGAGGATACAGGGGCAGATTGGGTGCGGGCGGCCCGGAGCCAGCCAGGCAGTTTTATTGAAATACTTTTAAATAATTTGTGTGTTAGTCTTGTGTGTCAGTCACACCACATGTGTCCATGTCAGTGATGCTGTGTTGGACCCTGGAGGGTCCTGGGGCTTGGCTAAGGAGTGCTCTAGCCTTTGAGTCCAAGCTGTTTTGGGGAGGGTGTTCTGTGGCTACCAGTTCTGTCCCAGCCACCACTGCCCAACAGCAGACTCCAGTCTCTTGAACCTAGGTAGGGAGTGGGTTGCTGAGGCTGGCACTGCCCAGGCTCTAACTGCTATATTCAGGGGATAGTCCATCAGCCTTCTGAAGACCAAAGTTCAGGGCACAAGGGACAAGACCTCCCCCACTCCCTGTTGCTAGGAGCGGGCTCCAGGCAGCTGTAGGCCAGGCGTGGGCGGCTTGGCATGGTGCCCTCGGTGGCAGAGGAGGCTGCCGGCCTCACAGTTCAGGTTGCGGTAGCGGGCTACAGCAGGTGTGGGTCGGGGGCACACAGACAGGAAACTGAAGCTGAAGGGGCCAAGGCAACAGCCGGGGCAGGGCAGCCCCTCATCTGGGTCCCTGGGGGCCACAGTCGGGGGAAGGGTAGGAGGCTCAGTCCGTTCTAGGGCTGTGGCCTGAGGCAGGCTTCGCTGAGCTCTGCCCCAGGGTTGGCCACCCCAGCCGGTAGGGGAGCTCACTACCACAGGTGAAGGATTGTTGTTAATCAGGAGTCCTGTGGACGGTCGTGCCCTGGAGGACCAGAGCTGGGAGGCTGAGGAACAGGTGCTGATGAAATTGTCGTTGATTTCAGCAGGGAATGGGTAGGGCCTAGGCCCTGGGGGCTCTGTTTCAGGACTGCTGCCCCCACAATCCATCCTGTCCTCAGAAAAGGGGCCCACAGGAGGTGGGCCAGGCCCAGGTAGAGCAGTCTCCATTCGGCGAGGCAGCTCTGGAGAGGAGGGTAGAGAGCGGCATCTTCGGGCAGGGGTTTCTGGTAGGGGGCGGGAGTAAGGTAGCTGAACCAGAGGCTCAGGTGTGGTCACCGGAGTTGGGGTGGCAGTGGGCAGTGGCAACAGGGGGATGGCCCTTCTGCTGGGTGTGTCCAAGAGCTTGATCTTGCCACCCCAAAGGTCTTCCCTCTGTGAGAAGGGGTTGACTCGGGCCTGGGTATCTCCCCAGCAAGGAAGCAACCCTGGGGATGGTGGAAGGAATAGGTCAGAGCGGCTGCGAGCAAGCCGGGGATCAGGGGGCAGTGGCAAGTGCTGAGGAGGAGTAGTAGATGGACCATCTCTTGGGGCTGATGCTGTGGACAGAGAAAGTGGTGGTCAATGTTTCAAGCCCCTAGCCACAATCCCGCTTTTCCAAAGACTTCCCCAACCCTTTCCTGAGCCCCTCACAAGCCCTTGACAAACCTCCTTGTGATCAGTCCAAGGGCCCAGGAACTACCCTTTGTAAAGTAATTCTCCTCACATTCTCCTCTCATTCCTCATACACCCTAGCTCAAAAGAACCTGAAAAGTGCTTCCTATATCAGCAAACAGAGGATGGATTGTGGGAGTGGCAAGCAGAAAGATCCCAAGTGTTCCCCACTGCACCCAAATGACTACCTGCCCATCCTGATTGACTTTCAGAGCAGGATCATAGGTCTAAAACTGAGAGGGAGCTTAGAGGTCATCTTCCCTCTCTAGTCGAATTCTCCTCATTTTGTAGTTAAGGAAACAGGCCCACAGAGGTTACAGAACTGGTATCTGAACCCGGGTCTTCCACTACACTACATTGCCCTACCACCTCTCTCATTCTTTAAATTTATTTTTTTTAATTCTAAATTTAACAAACAGCAAATAAAATGGGCATTTCTGTATACACAGGAGAACAGAAAAAAAGGATTGCATATGAAACTGTTGGATCTGTTATGTAAAGTTTGCTTTTAAAAAAGAAATGATCAATTTCAACAAATAACTTTCAAAGTTGTCCTACAATTCTTTCTAGCCTTTCTGTTTTGTACATTTAAAAAAATGTTTCATTCACTTTCTTTTCTTTCTTTCTTTTTGCTATTCCATCCCTATCCCTCCCATCTCTCCTTTCTACTCTTAACCTCCCATGTAGGGAGAAAAAAAGAAGAAAGACAAAGTCCTTGTAACAAATATACACAGTCAAACAAAACAAACCCCCGTGTTGGCCCTGTATAAAAATTTGTGTCTTATTTTGTATCTTGAGTTCATATCATTCGCTACTCCTACAACAGATGAAATATCAAAGAGCAAAGTCAGATTCTCCCAGACAATTAAGGAAACGAGACAAGTGAGGCTTTACTGCCGCCCTCTGATCCCTGACTTGCTACTTTGTTTATGTTACATCATGTAGATTTTCATTAACTTATCTGTAATAAGCTTGTTTTCCCCCAGTAGGAGGGACTCAAGGGCAGGCACTGTGTATCCCTCGTGCCTCTGCACACGATAGGGGCTTGTTTTAATGAAAGGATTCAAAATTCCTCTTTGCCCATCCCTGATGGTCCAGGACCTTTTGCATCTTCCTCCATCCCAACTCCTGTGCCCCCACGTATCACCTCGATTCTTCCGTACCCTGGGTTGGGGCAGAGGGGGCCGGCTTAACCAGACTCTGGGGCCCAGGCAACTGTTCCAGGATGTGTTCCAGATGCTGCGTGATCTCGGTGAAGGGGGCTCGGGAACTAGGTTCCATCTAGAAGGGAGATGGAGTTTGAGGTTCTCATCCAGGACTCCTTCCCAATGTGAGACCCTCCCTACCCTCAGCCCAACGACCTCTGAGTTTAGTGCTGGTAGGTCCTGGCATTAACTTGGTTCAAGTAAGAAACAATGTGGGACCTTCTGTGAAGCTAAAGGGTGGGTGATTGTCATTGTGTATGTGTCTGTGTGTGTGGGGAGGTGTGGGGTTCGAGGGTTGATGGGAGAAGTAAAAGCTCTTACGCTACAACAGTGGATGGCCAGGAGGAGGAAGGGTGGGGGGCAGTCCTCCCCAACCAGGGCACGGAAAGCAGCAACATCCAGACCAAAATCCTGAGGAGAGAGCAGGGGTCAGGACCTCTCCCAATTAGCTTCTCAACCTTCCCACAACCAAACCATTGGTGCTAGCTCCCATCCCTCATTCAGAGTCCTCTCCCTCCAGGAATCTCTCCCTAGTTAAAGGAAAAGATATGTTGCTCTCCCTAGTTAAAGGAAAAGATATGTTGCTCCTTTCCTCTCCTCATCCAATAGTGCTCACCTCAGTTCGGGGCAAATAGTCAGGGTCAGCAGGCACCCGGGCAATGAGTTCACACAGGACAATCCCAAAGGCAAAGACATCAGCCTGGGGTATGGGGTAGGGGGTTGGAGGGAGAGAAACATAAGATGGGATTAACAACTCCCTTTTCCATTGCCAGGAGTATATGGGGGTGGAGGAATTTGTGAAGATTCTTGGTCTTCTACTCTGATCCCTGAGAAACCTGGGGCTCTTGCCTCAGGACAGAGGAGCTTCTCAAGAATGTAGGTTTTGGCTAGGGCATGGGGGATATGTCTGATGGGGTCAGGGAAATATTGGGGCTGTAACATCAGAATCCCTGAGGGGATCAGAAATAGTATACTGGGGGGGAGGGAGAAATTATGTGGGGCCTTAGAAGTCTCTAAGGTGTCTGGAATGACTCTGAGAGATTGTGGGGTCATTAGACGTTTGAAGCAGTCTCTGAAAGGCGAAACTCTGGGAAAAACTCTTTAGGCAGTAGCTAGAAAATCAACCTGAAGGATCTTTGGAGGGTCTAGAAGTGGTGCTGAGGGGTTTCTCATTCATTTATTCATTAAATTATAAAGTATCTTTTGCATAAAGAGTATTATACTAGCTTGGTAGAGGAGCTACAAAGTTTAGACTAAGAGACAAGCTCTGCCTGCATTGACCTTATTGTCAAATGAGTTCACACAGGACAACCCCAAAGGCAGACTCCTCTGGTTGGAGGATAGGACACAATTTACACCTCAGGGAGGTCCTGAGTGATCTTGAAGAATGGGGGAGGAGTGTTTCTGAGGGTCTCACCTTCTCATCATATAGTTCTCCTCGAAGTACCTCAGGTGCCATCCAGTATGGGGAGCCAACCACAGCCAATGGTTCCTTCCTTGCCCCTTCTCTGTAAGTGGAGCAGGGCCTTTTAGACTAGACTCACTCCATACCCTTCCTTTTAAGTGTTTCTTTCCCAACAAAAAAAGGGCACCACGAGCCACCCCAAAATCCAGAATGACCCTCAGGGAAATAGTTTTGGAGGGGCATAGTTCCATTGGGAGCATTCTATGGAGGCATGTATTTCGGTGGGAGGTATTTGGCAGATGAAGTAGGATATATATACACAAAAAACACACACACACACACACACACACACACACACACACACACACACACACGCTAAGGATGGTCTTTGGTGGGCCGCTATCAAGAGGAAATAGGACTAGTCACCTTACCTGTACACAGGGATCTTCTCTGCCAGCCCAAAGTCACCCACCACAGCTGTAAGGCCCTCCTCTTCCCGGCGTACCAGGCAGTTCTGACATGTATATATATACACACACACACACACATCACCAACACCCCCATTACCTCCATCATGCATCCAATACCTTTCTAACAACCCCAATCCCCCATGTCTCCTAAATCCCTGTCCATGTTCATCAGTTCTCCCAACTCCAACACCTCCCAATTCTGTCTCAATCCCTGTGTCTATTCACTTTTATCTCAAAGAGAAGGGGCCTACCTTGGAGGTGAGGTCCCGATGGAAAACACCCTTAGCATGTAGGTAGCGCAGGCCCCTTGCAATGTCCAGGGCCAGGCTGAGTCTAACTGGCCAGGTCAGAGGCTCTGGGGAGCTGAGGAGCTGCTCCAGGGTTCCCCCATTAATGTACTGTAGGACATATGAGTTGTGGGAGCACAAAGAGGTCAGAGGACCATGGGCTGTGCTCCAGGTCCCTCCCCATTCTTGTGCTGGGATATTGGGAATTCTTCAGGACAAGATGAATGCCTGGGCAAGTTCTTTGTATACAAGAATCAAAAAGAAAGGAGTGCAGCCAAGGGGTCATACAAACGTTGTCACTTCTTTCCCCAATCACTTTTCTTCCAGTTCCCCTGTATTGACAGGGCTGTTTTTTCAGCACATTTCTAACAGCTCCGCCCCTCCTCTGCCTTTGACAGCCCCCTCCTCTATTGCTTCTGCATCTCTCAGACTACCCAGATCCCTCCTCACCTCAGTTAGGGCGTGAAGTTGCCCCTGATGCACACAGACCCCCATGAACCTGGGGAAAGACAGGAAAGAGAGTAGGGTTAGAGAAGAGACCTCGCCCCAGTCCTGTTGCTACTTTCTGGAACCCAGCTCTCTGCCCTCACCGAAGGATGTTAGGGTGCCGAAGTCGGTTCATGAGTTGCACCTCCCGAAGTGTGTTTCCCCGGTTACTGGGAAGCCGGTTCATCTTCAGCACAAGGATCTGTCCGGACTGTCGGTGTCGGACCTGGGGGGATATGGGGGTGGTGGCGGCGGCAGGGAAGGCCATTTGATCCCCAGCTCAGCAGTTCCCCACTCACATGCTAAACGATCTCTTCCAGTGGTCCGCTCCCCCCCCCTCCGCTCCCACTCCACCCTCTTTTATCCACAGACAGCAGCAGCACACTCCCCCTGCCCCCCTCTCGAGTGTTTTCTTCTCCACCCCATCCCACCTTGGTCCCCTGCCCCAGGCCACACCTTGTACACGTCTGAGAAGAAGCCGGCCCCGATCTTCTCCGCGCAGTGGAAGTCGTCCACCCTGGCTAGGCTGGACACTGCGCTGCGGAGTGCCCGGTAGGAGGAGGGGCGGCCCCCGCCCCCAGGCGCCGGGGGCCCCTCCCCCCCGGCCTCCCCGGGCCCTTCTCCGGGCCCCGGCCCCGGGCCGCCCAGCGGGGGCCGCTCTCCGGCCATGGCCGGACCGCGCGCCCCTGGTTCACATTGCGGTTGCCCTGGGGACCCGGCAGGGGCCTCTTGGCGAGGCCGGAGGCTCGCGCCGGATCCCCCAGGTCCCCCGCGGGGGATCCGGCCCGGGGGAGGCGGGGCGGCGCTGGGACTCGGGGCCCGGAGATCGGGGAGATCTGGGGGATCCCGGGTCCGCCCCCGGAGTTGGCAGCCCGGGGCCGGGCCGGCCCAGCCCTCCGCTGCGCTCCGCTCGGCTCCGAGATTAGGGCCCCGAGCTCGGGTCGGCCCGAGAGTCCCTAGGCGCCGGACGGTCGGGCGGGCTCGCTCCCCCGCGGGGTGGCGGGCTCGGAGGCCACCGGCGTCTTCTCTTTCCTCGGGCTCGGGCTCCGGCTCGGGCTCCGGCTCCGGCTGGGCTCGGGCGCTGCGGCCTGCGGGGGGCGGGGCCCGGCCTCCGCTTAACTCTTTCCCCCCCGGAGCATCCCGCCCTTGAGCCTCTTTCCCAGCCTCCTCCCCAGGTCTAACCTCCATCCCTGCTGCTGTGAGGATTCCTCTTTGTTCTCGTCTCCTGGCCCTGGCCCTGGCCCTGGGCCCCAGAGTAAGGGGCGCGCGGGCCAGGCTAGAGCGGCTGGACTTGCCAGTCTTTCTCCACGTTAACCAGTGGCTGTCTCTGACATGATCTCCTTTGATCTCACAACAGCCTAGTGAGGTAGGCATTATTCCCATAATAATGTAACTTTCATTTAAGGAGATTTAACAAAAAGCTTTCCTCACAACAGCCTAGTGAGGTAGGTAGTGCCACTGTTATCATTTGCTTTTTACAAATAATAACTCATTTAATGTTTCATAGCTTGCTTTAAGTTTTGTAAAATGCCTTCTTCACATGAGGAAAAGGAAGCCAGGGTTTCATGTTATGAGATTTAGATCTGGAAGCCTCGTTAGATATCCAATTCAACTCTTATAATTTTCTTTTTATTATGAACTTTATAAACTAATAAAGATAACTAGTCAATATAGAAAGAACAGAAGAGATTTGTATATGAAACTGAGAACTCGTTGTGTAGTTTTTTTAAGTGTATGTTAAATTTAACATGGCAGCAACAAAATTACCTTGCTTGTTCCTGTCCCTTTCTGAACTTCTTTCTGATCCCTTCATTAAAAAATAAAAAGTTTCATGGAAGCTTTTTTTTCTTTTTCTTTTTTTTTTGCATCACTATCACTGCCACCTAGTAACAAATAAGTATAGTTAAGCAAACCAAATCAACACACTAGCCTATGTCCGACAATGTGTGTCTTATTCTACTCTATTCAATCTCTGAAGAGATTGAAGAGGTGGGAAACATCTATTTGGTCAGCCTACTGGAGTTTTAATTGGTCACTGCATTGATCAGAGTTCCGAAGTCCAACCTACCCATTTTACTGATAACTTTCATTTACATAGTCTTTGTTCGCAAAGTTCTTTCTTCTTGTTACCCCTACAGTGCAATGAATGCAAGTATTATTATTCCCATTTTAGAGATAAGGAAACTATGTCTGAGAGATTAAGGGACCTGCCCAAAACCACAAGTTTTCAGAGTATCTGAGGTGGAATTAGAGCCTAGTCTAATGATTTCTAGTTCTTCACCCTTTTCATTATCCCAAATTGTCTCATTATTTTATGGATGTGGAAACTCTGTTACGTGGAGCTAAAATGACTTAAAAGATCTACGGCCAGAGTAAGGGCAGAGGCAGGCCTCAGATTAGGGATTCTTAACCCCAACGACCAAATTCACTGCACCACAATGCCAATCAAACTGGGCTTTCATCTACCCTAGTATAACGGTGGGGGGAATAGGCCTGTTTCCTTTGATAGTAATGGTTGGAAATTATGGTCTTTCTTTTTTTAAATCACTAAATAAAGCACCATTCTCCTCCACTTTCTTTTGAAGTGGAAAGGGGTGCTATGATGGCCTTTACATTCAACGCATAACTGTGAAATGAATAAAGGGAAAGGAGATGGAGGAGTAGATTTCTTCAATTATTTTGGTGTCCTGATCCCACCATTCCCATGAAATTTCCTACTTTTTCACTGGGGCTAGTCACCTACTCTTCCAAGTCCTGTCATTGGTCTGTCAGATTTCTTCAGTTTACTCTAAATTCGGAAGCTGGCCTGGTCCTCTATGTGTGTTCCAAGCCTCCAAGGTACCAACTTATACTTGGGGGGATAGAGAATCTCCTTCAACCTTCTGGAGGGAGGCAAAGACTTGTCACCTGTCTAGACTGACCCTATTCTTTCTCCTCATCCCTCTCCCTTTCCCTCCAGACACTTCCCTTTAATGTGACCCTTCCTTCTAAGGTGTGAATCCTCCCCTCTCAGTGTGACTACCTTAATACGAACCTCTCCCTTAATGCGGACCCCCTACTGTGCCCTATCAAGTGACTTCACTCCCTTCGTGACTCCTCCCCCTCGTTTGTTACCCTTCCCTAAAGGTGACTCCTCCCCTCACTGTGACCCCTCCCACTCAGAGAGCTGTAGGTAACAGGTGGTTGTCTCCCCCACCAGTGGAGGTTTCCTGGGGCCTGGCTGATAACCTGTTTTTTCCGCGTGCCCCCTCCCCATATTGCCTGGTGTCAGGTTCAGATCTCAGGGGAGTCTTCGCCTTAAATGTCGCAGGGTAGACTTGATCCAGTTCAGCCTGAATCGACTCGACTATCCTCAGGGTCAGAAAAGGGGCAGCCAATAGTGGAAAGGAAATCGGTGACGTCACCGGCTGCTGGGTAGGCTCTCCCCCGTGCGCTAAAGCTCAGGGTCCACCTCCGCCCTCGCGCCACCTGCTGCTTCCAGTCCGTTCCCGCCCTACGGCAGGCATGCTCGGGAGGCGAGAGCTAGAGCTGAAGGGGCGGGGGGAGAGACACGGCAGAGACAGAGACACGGGAGCGACAGAGAGAGAGAGAGACAGAGAGACAGACAGAGACACGGGAAAGAAAGAGATAGACACAGAGAGACGGACAGGGACAGAGACAGACGGAGACCCGGGAGAGTCAGAGACCGGCAGACATGGAGAGACAGACAGAGACCCGGAGAGACAGACAGAGACACGGAAGAGACTGAAGACGAGACCCGGGAGAGGGAGAGACGATAGGCAGAGACCCAGGAGAGACAGAGAGACAGGCAAAGATAGAGAGACAGAGACAGAGAGACACTAGAAAGATAGAGACACGGGAGAGGCAGAGACAGACATAAGAGAGACAGGCAGAGATGGAGAGACAGGCAGAGAAAGAAAAAGATACAAGGGAGACAGAGACATGGGAGAGACAGAAAAAGAGAGACAGAGATAGCCACTGAGACAGGTAGAGAGTGACACACTGAAGCAGAGACAATGAAACACAGAGACACTGACACAGATGAAGACCGGGAGACATGGAGACAGAGATGGGCAAAGAGACAAACAAGTACAGAGAGACAGAGACAGAGAGACACTCACAAGTAGAAAAAGGTTGAGGAAGACTGAATCAGGCACCAAAAAGGAGAAACCAAAAGAAGGAGGAATCAGACTGACACTGAAACAAGGAGTCAGGCATAGAGTGAAGATGAGAGTTAGAGCCAATGAGATTGAGAAAGATGGAGGAAGACTGTCGGGCACAGACAAAAAGAGAGAGAGGTGCTGAGACATAGACTGAGAAGGTCAGAAAGACTGACAGAAACAAATGTTTGAGAAACAGGCTGACAGACAAGAGATGAAAGAAGGCAGGGGGAACAGGCAAAGAAAGAGAGAAAGACAGATGCAGAGGCATCATCCTAGGGTCGTTGATTAAGCAGGAACAGAGACAAGGAGACAAAAATTGAGAGACAAGACAAAGGTAGTGGGAGAAAGACAGAGACAGAGAAAGACTGTGAAATTTGTAGACCCAGAAAGGTGACTGGATCAAACCAAGAGAACCAGGGAGACAGACACAGAGAATATCATGGAAATAAAGGAGAAAGAAAGGGAGATGCAGCTGGAGGTGAGGACAAGGAGAAATGAAAGAGGCAATCAGGCACTCCTAGGCTGGAGAGATGTTGAGCCCCCAGTGAATCTGGATTTATGTGGCCTTATAGTTGACACCTAGTAGATAACTAATGAAAAGAAACGCAGGGTAAGGTGGCCTAGCCATTCCAGATCTTAAATTGTATTATAGAGCAGTAATCATCAAAACTGCTTGGTACTGGCTAAGAAATAGAGTGGTGGATAAGTGGAATAGGTTAGGTATGCAAGACACAGTAGTCAATGACTATAGTAATCTACTCTTTGAGAAACCCAGACCCCAGCTTCTGGGATAAGAACTCACTATTTGACAAAACTGGGGGAAAACTGGAAAAGAATATGGCAGAAACTAAGCATAGACCAAAATCTCATGCCATATACCAAAATGAAGTCAAAATGGGTTCATGATTTAGCTATAAAGGCTGATACTGTCAGCAAACTGGAAGAGCAAGGAATAGTTTACCAATCAGATTTATGGAGAACAGAAGAATTTATGATGAACAGGAGATAGAGAACATTATGAAATGCAAAATGGTTAACTTTGATTACATTAAATTGAAAAGTTTTTACACAAACAAAGCCAATGCAACCAAGATTAGGAGGAAAGTAGAAAATTGGGAAAGAATTTTTACAACCAGTGTCTCTGATAAGGGTCTCATTTCTAAAATATATAGATAAATGCTTTCTGGGGAAGCATGGGCCTGAAGGTTTGCATTTTTTTTTTTTGTTTTTAATTGTTTTTCGATTAGCAAAATCTGCCTTCTCACCTCCCCCACCCCCTACGTGAGAACAAAAGGAAAACAAATCCCATTACAAACATGTTTAGTTAAGCAAAACAAATTTCCACATTGGCTGAGTCAAAAAAAAATTTATCTTATCTTGCACTCTTGAGTCCTTCACCTCTTTAGAAGGTGAGTAGTATGTTTCATCATTAGTCCTGTTGAATTGTGGTTGGTCATTATGTTGATAAGAGTTACTAATTCTTTCAAAATTATCTTTAGCATATATCTTTGTATAAATTGT